AAACAAGTTAACGAGGCCTGCCAGGGCCTTGTTGGCATCTACCCCAGTCGTGGCGTCGCTCTCGTTCCTATCGAGGAAATGGCCAGTCTTCTTCAGATCAAGAAACAGGAGGTCACCGTGACTCCTGGTAGCTGGGTCAGGATCAAGCGTGGCAAGTACCAGGGAGATCTTGCTCAGGTTCTGGACGTTACGGAGAATGGAGAAGACGTTGGGTTGAAGTTTATTCCTAGGATCGATCTGAATCCCAAGGACGAGCCGTCCGCTGATGGAAAGAAGCGTAAAAAGCAGGGGACAGCTGGTGTAAACAATGCGCTGCGTCCCCCTCAACGGTTCTTCAACTACGAGGAAGTCGTCAAGGTCTATGGTCGAAAGTCAGTTGCAAGGAGGAATCAGATCTATCTCTTCCAAAACGACCAATTCAAGGATGGCTTCATCGAGAAAGATTTCCGCCTTACCGCTATTCAACTGGATAACGTCAATCCGACACTCGATGAAATTACTCGTTTTACCCGTGGTCAAGATGGCGCTGAGAGCGATACACCTGTGGATCTTTCGATCATCGCTGAAGCATCTAGGAAGGCGGCCATCGCCGTCCTTCAACCTGGGGACCACGTCGAGGTATTCGAGGGTGAACAGTCCGGTGTGCAGGGTACAGTGCAGTCCGTTGAACAGGATATTGTCACAATTACGCCTGTTGGTGTTGATTTCGACGGACAGAAGGTACAGATACCTGCGAGGAGTGTCCGTAAACGCTTCAAGCCCGGAGACCACGTTAAGGTCATGACGGGAACGAATGCTGACGAAACCGGATTGGTTGTGTCGGTCTCCGACAACATCGTGACGTTCCTCTCGGACATGTCCCTTCAAGAGGTGCGTGGTACGTTATTGAGAGAGTAGTCGTTTAATCCTCGACGCAGGTCTCCGTGTTCTCCAAAGATCTTCGCGAAGCTGCAGAAGTCGGATCCGGGACGAACATCGTCGGAAATTATGAGCTCCATGACCTCGTCCAACTTGAGTAAGTAAGGCCCCCTGCGGATTTCTCCCTCGTTCCTCACACCACACCTAGTCCACAAACTGTCGGTGTCATCTACAAGACGGAACGGGACTCGTTCCGAGTCCTGGACCAAAATGGGCAGACTAGGCTTGTCAAGCCTCATCAAATATCAATGCGTAGAGACTCAATTCGTGCTGTCGCTAACGATGCCGAAGGGCACGAGTTGCGGATAAACGACAACGTAAAGGAGCTCGATGGCCTGGTACGCATTTCATTTCTCTTGAGATCATATACGTCCAATAGCCATCCCTCCATAGGGACGAAAAGGGCGCGTCATCCATATACACCAGTCATTCTACGCTTTCTTGCACAACAGGGACGTCGCGGAAAACAGTGGTGTTTTTGTTACGCGCGCACGTTCGCTAGTATCTCTTGCCCCCAAGGGTAATCTGCTCAAGGCGGGTGATCTTTCCAAGATGAACCCAAGCATGATGGGTGGCGGGATGGTTGGCTCTGGTATGATCGGGCGAGGACCGCGAGACAGGTTGATTGGTACCCCCGTTATGGTCACCAAGGGGCCGAGCAAGGGAGTCGCAGGTGTGATCAAGGATACGAATGGTAACCTCGCCAGGGTCGAGCTTTTGACTGGTAACAAGGTGATATCCATTGACAAGTCGAAGCTCAGACGGAGAAAGTACGCGAATTTGTTCCTACTTCTCGCCACGAAATTCACAGTGAATTAATCTTCAATAGACCGGATGGAACTCTGGAAGACCTTGATCGCAAGCCAACTGGGGGAGACATGCGACCACCTTCCGTCAACCCCAACATGGTCCCGAGAACTCCCTCTTGGAAAACTCCTGGTTGGCAAGGAGGCATGACGCCAAATATCCAGACTGCGAAAACTCCCGCTTGGCAAGCCTCCTCGAGAACACCAAATCCTTACTTGGATGGTGGCGGAGGAAAGACCCCCGCCTGGAATGTTTCTTCTAGAACGCCAAATCCTTATGCGGACGGTGGAAAGACGCCAGCTTGGAACGTTTCCTCGAGAACGCCTAATCCATATGCCGGAGGAGGTGGGAGCGGGAGCGGATGGAGTGGCGGGGGTGGGGGCGGGGGTGGTGGTGGTGGCTGGAGTAGTAATAACTGGGGAGGTCAGACACCTGGAAGGACAAATGACACCTCCAATGACTGGCAGGCAGACACTTGGGTCAGCAACTACTTTTCCTCCCAGTTTGAAGGTTGTGCTCACTCCGCATCAGGGCGCTCCAACGCCAAGGGAGGCTCCGACCCCTTACGATTCTGCTCCCACTCCCGCGTTTTCCGCGCCAACACCTGGATACGGGCTTGGCCAGCAAACGACAGCGCCGGTAGGTGTGACCAGGATTCCCAACACCCCTGGTTATTTCAGCGCACAGACGCCGGGGGTCTTTGACTCTCTGGATGATGGTACGGGTTTTGCCTTGTGGGTCCGCCTCGCTATAAACTCAATTGTTTTCGCCCCAGATTCCCCTGATGAATGGGTTGTCAAACACAAGGATAAGCTGATCGGAAACAAACCAATACTCAAGGTTCGCGAGTCAAGCGGTTGGGACGATGGGAAAATGGACAAGAAGATGGTCGTGCTGTTGGATGTGACCGTCCCGAGAGATGACATCGAAGCGGAAGCCAGCGCATCAGCAGCTCTATGGGAAAATGGGATGCAGGTGGGCGATCCAATAGCCATACCTGCCAGGCACTTGCAGCCTGTTCATCCAGAACAACTGGGTCACACCGTGTTGGTCTTCACGGGTACACTTGCTGGGAAACAGGGTATCGTCAGGAGCATAGAGTCGGACTCCGATTTCGTCGTTCAGATCTTCGAAGATCAGGTCCTTGAGGACATTTCGAAGGATTATCTGACGCTTTGTGTACCCGATCAATTCGAATGATAGGCAAGTAGATCCGTCCCCCGTAGCCGTAATATCTTCTGTTCCTTGTATGTTTTGCTTGCTTTCGCAGAGAATTTCGTAGTGCATCCTATCGATTCCCTATTCTGCCCCGGGTTCACGATTCGCGAAGGTGCTCAAGGATGAGATCATATATTCCGTATAACTCGTAAGCCCCGGGCCAAGTGTGCGAAGGAAGTAATACAGGTAGCAATGAACGGCGTGGTAGCAATGCGACTGGGCTATGAGGGTGCGTGGCGGGAGTGTCTGTTCGTTATTATATGGATAGGTGATACAAAAAAGGCGGATCAAGCGTGTGGGGGAGCAATTCAACGGAGGGGCTCCTTAAGAAGCGATTAACACGCCAAGCCCGATACCAGCGCAAAACGCTCCCATGATTCCCAAGATACCCCAATTGATAGGTTTAGTGTTCCTCGTGGTTGTGGAACCGTCAGGGGTTTCCATGGGTTCCCCAAAAATGCGGTAGCGCAACGGGGACAAGAGCGACAGGGAGAACATGAAAACCGAGGGTATGTGGAGGGGATCGAAAGTCGTTGGAGAGTAGTATGCCGCGCAAGTGCTGTTAGAATTGCTCGGGCTGGGAGGTTTAGACGGTGAGGATGGAGGGAGCGTGGACTTGTTCAAGTCGGATACATCCTTCGACAGCTTATAATCCCACTCTGCTTCCCAATCAGCTTTGTTCCATCTGGCCTTCGTGGGTGAGCGCTGATACCCCTTAAGAATGGTGGGCGAAGAGGCAGCAACAGACAGGGTCAAGGCATTATGGATGTGGTGAACTTCTCGCCAGCGGAGAAACCTATCGGCAGCTTCCATTCGAAGGGACGATAGTGTCTCTGGTGAGCGGAAAAGGTGAGATCTCAGAGCGGTCGAATTTGCGGGACGGAAGGAGGAGAGGTGCTGCGATGAGCGTCTAGATGGAGGGAAGGGAGGGAGTGCAATGACAGGGATGTGAGGAGTCAGTCGCTCGACTAGGGAGGTGTCGAAGTGAGTGGGAGAGGTTGTAGTGAGGATGATTAAAGCAGTATAGAAGGGGGAGTGTGGGGATGACAAAAGATTGACGAGGTTTGAACAGGGTGGAGTGTTCGGATTAAGAAGTTCATTAACGGGTTTGAATTGTGCATGTATCAATTCAAGCACAGATTCTACGACGGCGGTTATCTGTGGGACAATCAATATGATGCGGTGCACATGGTAACATTCAGCTCACATCTCCTTGAGGATCGTAACCTGGAAGCTCCGTAATCTGGACGTTCAGAGCAGGTTCGAATTTCTCTAACCCATTGTGATCCTCGTGGTCTAACCAATCAGTGGAGGCAGTGAGGACGTTGCCTTCCCACCCGGAAACGTGCACGATGTCATCGTTTGATTCAAGGAGCAAGTTCGCCAACGTTGACTTTCCGATACCTTTACTCCCAAGAATCAGCAGCCTCAAATCGCCCAATGTCTCACCATACGGTGAGGGGTGCGGTAGCGCGGTGGGGAGAGTTAACGAAGGGATGACTAGTCGCAGGGCGTAATCTTGAGCCGGGTCAGCAGCTTGAACATGGGGTGGGCTGGCTGCAGCAGACGAATAGAAGAAAGATGAACCGATAGACGGTAGAGACGACACTGAACCACCAGATGGGCTGTCAGGTGGCGAAGGGAGTGCGCTGACGGGTGAAGAGGGCAAGGAGGCTGATCGGGCGTCTGGAGGTGAGTGGATCATCCTGAGCGTGATAAAGCTACTGCTAGCTGGAAGTTCGTCTTGACCGGTTTCTGAGATTGATTCTGTGAGTTTTGAGCGCATATGTCGAGTGTGGGAGATTGATGGAGTGAACGTCAAGGTGGGAGACGTGTGCCAGTGGCCAGATCAGCGACCTTCGACAAGAGGAGGCAGGACGTACGTGGGAAGTTAGATGCACGTTCATCGTCATCAAGTTACAGGTAAGCCAAAGCTATCAATATCACGCAATCCACGCAAAATCATACGCTCTGCGAATCGATTCTTTACTAATACTAAATCCACCCTTATAACGAGAAGAGGTTGAAATAGTCTGAGGAGGGAAAACAAAAACAACTGCATTAAGAGGGAATCGAACCCCCGGCGGGTCGACGCTGCGCGCCGTTCGGTGGCAACGACCCAGGTTACCACTACCCCATTAATGCCTTGAGGGTGCTCGAGACTTTTACGCCATCAATTATAAGGGTCGAAATCAAAGGTGATTACTTATGTTGACACGTATCTAAGCTACTGATGATTTACACGCAAGAGAACCTGGTAGAACAGCGTGAAAACAATAAATCCACCTGGGCATTGCTTGAACGTACCTGTTATTAGTGTCCTCAAGACTGTCTGCCGCTCGAGTTCTTTGTGAGTAATTGGGAGTTTACGGCCACAAAATGGTAAGCGACGACCGTGATCATGGCGAGGGCTCCAAGGCTGTTAGCCAGAGCGTATAGAGTATCGTGTGTAATCATCTGCACAATGACACGAGTCTGGTCAGCGTGACTGGTTTGCAGGAGAGCGTTTAAGGGGCTAACTGTGCTTGCGCGATGTGGACGTTGGTGTCAAGCCGCGTTTGGTAAATGTCACACGTGACGACGGGAAGGGGAGCGGAAAACCTCGGGCATGCCATAGACTGCTTCATTCAACTGTCATCCGCATTACCGTCTTTCCTTCTATCCTTCCTCTCCGACTTTGACTCACGTTCTGAGATGAGGCCAACTGCTGCTGTAAGGGGAGAAGCGCCAACCGGTACGTTTTCACGAACAAGTGAACTTGAGGAAACACCCTACACACACTGAACCTTTACGCAGGCAAAGCTTGGGTACGTTCGCAGGAAAAACTAAACCACCCTCAAGAACAAACTTTCTGACATACGTCTCGCGTATTTTTTAGAGCGTCTGGTGGGGTGGCAAAGAAGGAGCGATTCGACAGAAGGGAATCATCCAGTACTGTTCGTGGAGGGCGACCTAGGCCCAATTCCTCTGCTTGCTCACCCAACGGAATCCTTCGTAGCCATTTCTCCGGTTAGGCAACGCGCCGCCAAGAACCTTTTCAGAAATTATCTGTTCAACGGATACAGGCGCCTCTCTTCCCAAGTTCCTTATTGGATCGTTCCCGTGCTCATCGGTACGTTCCCTTGTGCACATACAAGCCACAACGGTATTCAACCCGCTATTCAGGCTACTCAACGTATGCATGGGCCAAGAAACACGATGCTTACCTCAACAGCAAGGAGGGACACATCGCTCACTCTGGAGAGCACTAAACGCTACCTTATTAATGCATCAATAGACCGCGTTTTTCCCCCTCCATTCATGGGGCTGTCACAGAGTCCGATACTCCCTCTGAGCCAATTGTGAGATATCAAATGATATTCAGAGTTCCACAAAAAATAGCAATACACCGAGGTTGTAAGGTCGCGACATAAAGAAGTGATAGTAGTGGCAAAGTAATGGAAAGGTGACAGTAGAATCGAGCAGAGACGGGAAACGTAGGTAGAGGAAGGAGAGAAAGAAAACATGAGGTGAGATATGCAAAACAAGATGAGAGCGACACAACGACGTGTGAGGAAACCCCCAGGCGACAGGCAAACAGTCCGCGTGATATTTTCTATTGGCCGAGTCGTTCCTTGACTTTCTCCCTGTGCTTACGATTACGAAGATGAACCTCAAAATTCGAGAGGGTGGAGCCAGGGCCGGTGGTATAAATCTGGAACCGAGTCTGTCAGTTAGTCGCCCAAGCGTCTGGTGACGATTGATTCATACCATCATAGGACAGTCATGACACCTGATTCGCCAGTCTGCGGGTTTATCAGGCCTAATTTTTCTCAAAACGACATCGAACTCGTCCCCCGGGTATTTCGCACGCAAGTGCTCCGTCGCTCGTTTCAGCCACTCTGGCGCACTGGAAGGCTGCGAATAAACAGACCCGCCGGTCAATCCAAGGAACGGGATGGGCGAGTGGGAAGGGGACATACCGTCGCGGCCGAACTACGGGGAGTAGAGTGCGTCTCGGAGGGAGTCTCAGCGCCATTCTCGGATCGGTCGGGCATTTCACGGATAGTCTTCGCTGGGGTAGAAGGGTTGGAGTTATACCCGGAACTTCCACCATTGATCTTGACTTGTTCCGCGAGAGGAGGCTCCGAAGTACTCGAAGCGGTCGAGACAGGGGACAAAGGCCGATCGTCAAGAGGGTGAGGAAGAACGGAGGCGGTTTGAGCCTCGAGCTTTGCGACATTGGCAACGGTGGCCAGGGCGACTTCATCCTCTTCCCGCACGTCCTCAGGAACATCTGCTTCTTCGTACTTGGATTCTTCCACGACGGGTTGTGGCTTTTTCTTCTTGGAGACGGCAGCCTTCGAGTGGCCTTCGTCGTTACCACCTTTCGCCTGTTGCCGAAGATGGAATTCGGGATCGGTGCTGTACTCTACAGGCCTCGGTCTTCTGTGGCGATGCCAGTATTTTCCTAGATGAAGCTGTAAGCAACAACAGGGATGGCGATGCCCTGGAAAACTTACCACAAGTGCCACATTGAGACTTGTCTCCGAGAGGTCCCTTCCGTCTCCCAATGGCGATATCCCCCGGGCAACCGCAGTTTGAACAATGCCAAACGCTATCGATGAAGTTGGGATGCTGTCCGTCAACGAATTCTTTCTCCCTCGCTTCCCGTTCCAACTCTCGAACCCTCTTGGTGGTCAACACGCGAACTCCGGCTCGACTTTCTGGGGCTGAAGTCGACATGCCCTCGATCGCTGACGCTGGAACATTCAGGCCCGCGATACCAGTCGACTGTGTTGGAGCGTGAACGTGAGCACGAGGACGCAAGACTGATGGAGAGACTGGAGGAGCTTTGAACAATGCTTTCGGCTTCTTGTCTTTCTGTTGGGCTGGCGCCGTCGCAGTAGCGGGGATGTTCAGCGGCGTTGACGGGGGTAACATAGCACCACCGTTCTCAGATGCTATCATGTTTGTGATCGTGAGGGTGGCAGCCGTTGCAGCAGCACGCTTGTGGGTTGGAGCTGAGATGGCCGTGTTGTTGAGCGCCGACGCGTCGACCTCTGGGAACCCAATGGCAGGTGTGCGGCAAGTCTTGAGGACTTCTCGATCCGGCAGAGTGACACCACGTCTTCCACGGTTGCCTTTCCTGCGCCGACGAGCGAGATCCTTTTCGCGTTCCTTCTCGCCCCTCTCGAGCTCGCCATCGCTGAGATAATTGAGGATAGGGGTAAATGAGGGAACCTGGTCCAATGAGCGAGCAGCAGTGATATTGAGGCTGGGGAGGAAGGAGGTTCGCAAGTCCTCGTCCTGGAAACCCAAACCCTCTGAGGGATGTCCGAGTATAAACAATGACTTCTGATACATATGCGCCTGTTCTCGGATACAATGCGCGATGGCGGTTCTAAGATGAGGGGGTCAATGACCGGCCGCAAACGCCGAATGGAAATACTCACTTGAAGTCTCCGTTCAGTCCAAGCTCCATGCAGTACACTTCCGCGAAACGCTCCGGGGCACTCCCGTCTGTGTTATGCAGGTCCCATTCGAATTGATCTTCAAGTCTGATCGAGCCAACGATGATGTCCAACTGATCACGAAATTCCGAAGGTCAAAAATGCACGCGGATGACGAGGGGAAAGGGAATCATGGGATGGGCATGGAGCACCCGTGCCCAGGAACCCAGGCCACTCACCTTGATCAGGATCCTCATTTCCTCTATCAAGTCATCGTCTTGATTTTGATCAACGACAGGGCGCCCTGCTGACTCGAACTTAATATATGACGTGGTAGGGTCTGAAGGTCCTGGCCCAGAGCTGCACTTTCTCTTCTTCCTCTTAACTGTACCGTTCTCAGTCCTGAGTCCGTTCCTCCAACGCTCCCACCAGATGTCATTATCTGCCGATCGAGCCTGGGCCGTGCTGAAGAATCCATCGTCGTCGACTGATTCGATAGTGTGGGCCCTGAAATCGCTCAGTTGCTCCTGGATTGCTTTAGTGATAGTCGAGACGCTGCTTTGCGGGAGGCTGTAGTCCTCAGCTACGGACTGAGCGAACATTTCTGGGGTGATCACGGGATCTGTGATTCAAGAGGGTGAATATAGGCGTAATCCAGAACCGAGGAAGGGGAAAGCATTTTGGATCGAGCATAGGGGACTGAAGGGATACCAACCATTCAAATTCCAGACGAACGTATCCCTCAACTTGTGATGTTCAATGTCAAGTTCCAGTCGAATTGGTACCAGTTGCTCCGGTCGATTGGCATCTTCCAGCGGGATCTTCCTTGGCCTAGATCAGATAGTTCAGGGATTATAAGAATCGGAAAAGGAACGCAGGAAGCGAGAAAAAAAAGACGAGAGTGACGGCAGTTGCGTCACAACATGTTTAATGTCCGATCAAAAACTCTCATCGAAGGGGACCAGAACAGGATAAAAAGAACGCACAGTCTGATGCCCATCCGTTGCCCGGCTTTTCTCCTAATCCCCCTTGCCCCTGGGAGCCCGATGCTGAACTTGTCTCGGCGACTCCGGTTGGGAGGCATAACAGCCTGGTCGTCTTTCTCCCACCATTCTGCTTTCCGGATGATTCGGGTTACTTCTTCCGTCATACGTTCCCTGGCTGAGCGCTGAAGCTCCTCGTGTTCCTTGTCGGCCTTCATCCACTGTTTGACTTTCTCAATCTCTTCCTTGGAAAGAGCCGGTATTTCCGTCGCAGAGGCCGCGAGGGAAACAACGGTGACCTGAGTTACCTTTGGGTTCAGATGGGGTGCGGTTGAAGACGAAGGTATCCGTGTTCCTGTAGTAGGAGGGAAGAGAGGAGGTATAGATGAACCAGGCGTTGGGGGAGGTAAGCTCATGGAGTTCGTAGCCGAGATGGATCCCGGTCGCCCAATCCCAATGTTGTTCATCACACCAGGCAACTTGTTCGGGGGGATGGTTGCGTTCGCGTTCATGAGATTTGCCATAGAGCTCGCCGGACCTATGTTCATCCTCGTTGCATCCGATAAGCCTTGGGGAAGGTTCGAACCGCCAGGCAGACCACCCACTGTAGCAGGCAGAACCCCGAGATTGGCTGTCACCGCGGAAGGACCTTGCCCGGTGAGGGAAGGATGCTGGGCTAGCATCTGGGTTGAGACGGGTGTGGAGCTTGGGTGAGTGTTGAGTGGCCCGGCAGGCATGCCACCAATTCCTCCTAAATATGGCGTCGTAACTTGATGAGGAAGACCGTTCGTGAGGTTGGGCATGCCAGTGGATGGGAAGGGATCCTGGGCGATGTTCGAAGTCCCATCGAGCATCTGCGGCATCTGATTCCGTGTCGCGGAAGGAGGTCCCATCGGAACACCAGGGGTTCCAGCCACCATGTGGGCACCATTGATGCTCTGCCTTGAGCCACCTGGAAATTGAGGACGCTGTTGAGGGATCTGTTGAGGTTGCGACATAGGCATCCCTGGGAACTGGACGTTGCCGATGGTTTGTTGACCATCCATGGATGCCATGTGGAGGTTCTGGGCACCCATGGGTAATGGTTGCGAACCCATTCTCGGAGTTTGGACGGCAAGGTTTGAACCGCTGAGCTTGCGCTTTGCACCCCGAGACGGTGAGCCGGGATTTTCTCCGTGGTCGTAACCCTGTGGGTGATGCATGATACCAGCGGGGGAACCATCCGGGAGTGTCATCCCGGGCTGGGGCATCGGTTGAGCTGTTCCGGGTCTGCTTGGCGGTCGATTTTGGGGAGGTTGGCCAGGACCGTGTGAATGAGACGTCCCTGGGCGGGAGAGAGAGGTTGGCGGACGGGGGGGTGGGGGCATCATACCCGGGTGAGTGGACATGGAGGAAGGCGGGCGATCGAACGGTAGTTGTTGCGGGGTTGATTGAGGAGTCTGCTGGACACCTTGTGGCATGTTCTGCTGGGAGAGCTGTTGCTGGAGCATTCTTTGCTGCTGATGTTGGTGTTGCTGATGCTGATGCTGCAGGTACATCATGGCTTTGTGTCGCTCCTGGGGACCCATCCCAGCGAGCTGATGAATTTGTGCGGGTGAAATCCCATGGACCTGCTGACCAACGGGGGGAGGCAGCGACCCAGGGTTCATACCGTTGACCGTGGCAGCGGATTTCTGGAAGATCTGACCAGCATTCATCTGGGGTACGTTAGCCATCTGTTGCAGCTGCCGACCGTTCGCGAGCATTTGATTTGGGTTGACGCCATGGTGCATGAGTCCAGCTTGAACGGCCTGACCGGGGGTCATCATCGAGCCTTGAGCCATCGCATTTGCTCCGACACCTGGGTTCATATACTGGCCAGTTCCGTTGAACATTGTAGGGTAGGAAGAAGGCTGGGCGCCATTGTAAGGAAACTTGGAGGGCGTTGGAGGAGATTGTTGGAACTGGGCGGGCTGTTGCTGGGGTGTAAACTGGGGTTGGAAATTGAACTGGGGCTGCGATTGATTGGATTGGGAGGTCTGATAGGCGGCCAGAAGAGCGGGATTAATGCCGCCTGCCTGTGCTGGATTCATGGGATGCTGGAGATACGGCGTCAGAATGAATCTACGTGGTGGACAAAGGAGGACAAACAGTCGTTAGAGCGTGGAGGATCCGACGATACGCGTCGAAGGACCTGATACAGAGCGACCTATCGTGATCTCAGAGGGTAATGGAGGACGTTCGGGTCGGTTGGGTTGGACGCGAAGGCGAGTCTGTTGCAGAGAGAAAGAGGTGAATGGGAAGCGTGAGGACGGGAGAAAAAGGTGGAAAGGGACAAGGGGAAAGCATTTTTTTCTTAGATGAAAGTTGGGGAGAAGGGAAGATACGCACAGACGGGAGGAGTGGAGGGGCAGATGTATGGACAGAAGTTCTCGGCTGAGGACTAGGTCTACTGGCGATGACCCACCGGACGGCGACCGGACGGAGCGAGTCGGTATGAGGGCGGGAGCAGGGTCAGGGGTGGACTGAAACCTGTCCGTGATTGTATCTGTAAATCCAAGCAGGCGTCGTTTCCGGGCAGTCCGAGAGTAGACGTCCGCTCTGTCCTCCTCGTTGTTGGTTTCTGCAACGACGGGGGATGTCACGTTGTCTGTGACACGGTAACGCAACGTGACTCACCTCAACGGGAGGCTCTCTCCCCAAAAGGTCAGGAAAGGGAGACAAAGTACAGACACGTAGACGCATACACCATACACTGCTGCCAACGGAACGTACATACAGACGACGGGATCCGCGATTACATCCACTTATCAAACGCCCTCACGGATAAATGTTCCAGCTTTTGTCCGTTTGGGTCTGTGTTTCTATACATTGGACTGATCCAGATCCCCGTTTCAAGATCATTTCATCCCTAAGCTATCCCCCACCAAGTCCCCTCCCTGTCATCTGCCACGCCTCCGCCCATCCATCGCCCCTCTCCGCCGAGAGCGCCCGCTCCCACGATCGCTTGACCTTCCCCCCGTCCCAAACCAACCCCCGAGCGACATGGAATGCTCAGCAGTGAAACAAATATAATGGCCCGCGTAGCTCAATCGGATAGAGCGTCAGACTCTTAGCATTCGCGGGCAATCTGAAGGCTGCGAGTTCGACCCTCGCCGTGGGCTAGTTGCTTTTTTGCTGCCGCGTCTTTTTCTGCCCGCCCAGGGAGCGATTGCCTTTTACGGTAGGTCCTTTTCCATTTTTGGGCAACATCGCATCTCGATATCACGAGGAATCTCTCAGGTCTTTGTATAAATATTGGACCTGCCTCCCCAGTTTTCTCTATTCCGCATCGCCTCTCTCCCAGCCAGTCCACATCTCTCTACTAGTCACTCTCTTTTCATCACCCTCAATGCCTCGCTATCAGGCTTTTATCCTCTTGGCGCTTTCAGCCTCCTCTGTCCTTGCTGCTCCTCAGGTGCCAGCGGTGCCCGCCACGCCGGTCGACCCCGCCACGCTCGCCGACACCGTCACCGGCACGGTGGGTGGTCTCGTGCCCGCGGCACCTGCTCGTCGGGCTCCTGCTGAGCTACCTCAGTTCCCTCCTATCCCTGACACGACCACCGTCAGTCGCCCGGTTCTCGGCGAGCGATCGAATAGCCTGCGTAAACGTGACTGGCAATACCCAACATCCACTGAGGACTGTCGCTCATCTCAGGTCCCTGAGGATTCGATGTCCCTCTCTTATACTCACGACGGTCAAGAATACTCTCAGGACTGCTTGACTCGTCTCGCCCTCTTCGCCCCTTCTGAGAAACGCCAATCTTGCCGCGCTACCGGTTCTGATGCTCGTGGCTACGATGAGGACTGTCTGTTCAAGAAGGCCTTTGACGAGGGCTGGAAATTCGACGTCGAGAAAGCACAGGAGGACGAACGCACTTGGAGGGCCGCCAACCCCTCTATGACCTCTTCGGAAGCTTATCGCAATCAGTTCCCAACCACTATGGCTGACTGTCGTGCCGGTCAACGGCCACGACAGAGGGCCTTGGGCGGAAGGAGGAAATCAAAGTCCAAGACTTCGAATGGGACGAACGGTTGGACCCCCTATTCCGTCGACCCAAACTCTGGCGAGGTTTTTGAAGACGACTGTCTCTTGCGTCTGTTCCTCGACTTGGGGCTCACTCTCGACCTCGGCATGTGCACAGCTGCACAACAGGACGCCGCCCTCCTCGACATCGGCGTACTCATTGGTTCGCTCACCGGACAGAACGAAACCCAACAGCAGGCCACCATCGTCAGCATCATCGCAGCCCTTCAAACTGGCTGCCTCCTCAACATCGTTACGGTGATCATCGCGGGAAATGGCATGGACGTCACACTGGCGGATTTCCTGACCGACCTCGTGACAGCTCTTGGCGTTACAGGGACAGATCGTACCAACCTGATTGCAGCCCTCACGGCGCTCTTTGGCTGACTGATGGGAAAGGACGAGCATTAGATAGTTGGTTTTGTGGCTCGAGAGGAGTTGTAGATTATTAGTACCCCTGGATTCACATTTCTAGTCAATACCACCTTCCCTTGATACCTCTCATGAGTGCGAATGAGCCAACACCAACTGAAATCAAGATTACTGCCCGGTGTGACCGTGACCCTCTTCGACCGATTGTTCACCTGGTGCAAAGGGATTTCCGTTGTTTTGTCCACGCGCGTTATCTATTATCCTGTGTATATTGCATAAATATGTGTATCATCACGAATCTACGGGTGTCCACGCAGTACAAGGCTCACTCTGGCTTTCCAGAGTATGAAGAAGTCCGAGAAAGTTTCCCAGATTCCACGTCCTCCATCTGGAGGCGATCATACTGATGTCCATTCTTGGTGGTTACGGGTGATTGCGGCGATTTTGTCTCTTGGTGCTTGACCCAGGTGTAGTAGATGGACCCGCCGAGGATGATCGCGATGGAAGACGCTCGTCCGCTGAAGAACCTTTTTCAAGCCCGCTGGAAAAAATTGCAGAGCAGGCGACAAACTCACGAAGTGACGACATCATTGAACAGCCACACGCCAAGCACAGATCCTGCCACACCCCGAACGGCGGAAGAGACCATATGGGTGATGGGAGAAGTGACCTTGATCGACAATAAACTGGCGATGCTCATCAAGAAACCGAACACACCCTGAGCCTTTCGTCACCCAACGGCCAGTTGTTACATTTCGGGTGGGACATACCGTTATCGCTGAGCCCCAGAGGAAGGTGTTCAGGGGAGACATTCCTGTTGTCGGTGAACCTGTCTCAGAAAAGAGAGTGGTGATTGCAGGGGCTTCACCGGCGACAAAGATTACTGGGATCAAGGCGATGGCGCTGTACAAGTTTGTATACCATGACAAGTGGAGGGCGCTCCCCTTCACGACGTCCAAGCTGCGTTTGATGACGACAGAGTGGACAGCGGTGATCATCGAGCTCACAACACCAAATGTTACACCGAGGACCGAAACTTTGGCCCCATCCAAGAAGACGCCAACGAAAAAGCCCATGGTGACTAACAGACAAGCCAAAAGGATCCGGAGGGATGGGCGAGAGTGAAGCACGAAGAGAGATGTGCAAACGGTGAAAGGCAAGACCAGGCCTCGCGCGACTTGATAGAACGAAGCGTCGACGTATTTGAGGGTATAGTTGCTGAAGCTGCGGCGTCAATTAGTGGGACTGTGATGACGCTTGTCCAAAGCATGGAGCCGAACCTGAGTCCAACGACATTAAGACTAACTGTGGGGACGAGCCCTTGCACGATCTGCTTGTCGAAGTGCAAGGGGACTATAAACAAGTTGGCTGCATGACCAGCCAAGAATAGCAGCACAGCGATGACGAGTTGCGTGAATAAGAAGAACAGAGGTGCTTCGGTGGAGTTTAAGACCCATTTATTGCTGAACGGGAAGAGCCATCAGAGAGTCGTGCGGGGTGATGCGCGCGTCAACGTACGCCATGACCATCTAGGAACGGGTATATCAGCCAGCGCAACATTTGCGAGAGAGAAAAAACAGCACACCGCTAATGCTGCGACCAGATAAAATAATACCGTGCCCATCTGCGCTCACTTGTGTTTAATATTCGAGAAAAGACAGGTGATGATGATATTCTCGGGTAAACTCACGATAGCCAGCGGCGAGTGTTTACCCCCATCGTTCGACGACATTTCCAGGTGAAAAGTCCAAGTGTAGATCTAGGCGGTCTGAAAGGAATGGAGGGGTTTTGGTGTATTTTCAAGCCGGCTTGCGACTTTGTCGTTGCGTGGACGATGGGCGGAATTGAGTTGTTGTCACAACCCGTGACCGACACGTCGTGCCCTCAGGATCAGGGCAGTAGTAAGTACGCGACGCGAATTGTCATTACATAAACTCATCCTACCCAGACTGATGGACGACACTGACGAATCTGGGTTTCCTCCGACAATACGTCCTAATGCATGTACGTGTCTCCGGTCTGCCTCCTTTGTTATCCTCAAAGTCTGACGCCAGCATTCAGTAGAGGAGAATGTCATCAAGATACTCCTCGCCACAGACAACCACGTTGGGTATCTAGAGCGTGACCCCATCCGCGGCCAGGATTCTATAAACACGTTCAAAGAGATCCTAGAGCTTGCTGTCAAGCATGAGGTACGCATACACTCACAGCGCCCTTCCGTGTATCTGCCGTATCGCCCTTTCCTGATGACTTTGCGGACCCGGTCTAGGTTGACTTGGTTCTCCTTGGAGGGGATTTGTTCCATGACAATCGACCTTCGAGAGATACTCTGTATCAGGTCATGTCGCTTCTACGAGAATATTGTTTAGGTGACCGACCAATTCAAATCGAGCTGCTGAGTGATCCAAACGAGGGCAAAGTTCCTAATACATCGTGAGTCGCCCACCACTTTTCACCGGACGGTTTGCCAACGTTGAATGCGAATTCAAAGCTTCCCCGCGATCAACTACGAAGACCCCAACCTCAACATCTCCCTGCCCGTGTTCTCGATTCACGGCAATCACGACGACCCACAGGGTGCCGGGGCTGTAAGTTTGTTTCCTATCAATGCGGTCCCGTCCGACTGACCCAACACCAACCCAAAGGCCGGTGCCCTCGGAGCCCTTGATTTGCTCTCGGTCAGCGGTCTGATAAACTACATGGGTAAATTCGACTTGCCCTACTCTGACTCTGAAGCGAAAGAAGAAGGAATTGCCGTGAGGCCCGTACTATTGCAGAAAGGCACCACCCGACTTGCCATGTATGGCATCGGAAACGTGAAAGACCAACGGATGCACTTTGAACTACGAAGCAACCGAGTCCGGATGTACATGCCTAAAGATAGGGACGATTGGTTCAACATCTTGGTCGTCCACCAAAACAGGTAGGTCCTCTCTATTCAAAGCTGAAGTTAAAATCTTAGCCTGCCCAAGGGTAAATCACGGACCTCAGAAGTCTGTCCCAGAAGGAATGTTCGACGATAGCGTTGATTTGGTTGTGTGGGGTCACGAACACGACTGTCGAATCATTCCCGAGACCGTCCCCGGAAAAAAATACCGGATAACCCAGCCTGGATCCTCTGTAGCCACCTCATTGGCCGATGGAGAGTCTTTGGAAAAGTGCGTGTACCTTTCGGCCCCGTGCTCTCTCTGACAAACGTTTCTCAAGGCATGTTGCTCTCATCCACGTGCATGGAAAGGAATACTCCCTGAAACCACTTCCTCTGCGAACAGCCCGACCGTTCGTCCTTGAAGAGGTCGTGTTGTCGGAGGTCGCTGAAGAGGAAGGATTCGAACTCGAGGATCAAATGGAAATCGCCAAGTATCTCAGATCGCGGGTAACTCTCGCTCCTTCCGCAAACTCTTGAAAGGCTGTCTGCTGACGACGGGATTAGGTCAACGCACTGATTGAGAAGGCGAACGCTTCGTGGGACGAAAGAAACACAGAGGCGTTTAGGCGAGGCGAGGCCGAGCTCCCCCAAATGTTGCCGTTGATCCGGCTCAAGGTGAATATATCGGAACATCTGATTCAGAGCCTATCTTACGCCGCGGTGACTAAGACTACGCATAGGTTGATACGACTGGCGTAAACTCGCTGTCAAATCCCATTCGTTTTGGGCAAGAGTTCCAGGGCAAGATCGCAAACCCTCGAGACGTCCTTGTGTTTCACAGAGCCAAGAAGGCCGCT